ACTGCCACGCAGAGGTCCCAGGTTCGATTCCCGGGCCGGGAGAAATAGTTGTATGGTCTACAATTATTTCTCTCGTCAGTTTGGGTGTAATTTGTGGTTGTCTATGTGTGTGTCCATGGCACCCGCGACACAGGGTTTCCCTAGTGTGGGGCTATATTGAGTATGTGCGTTATTTATTTATTATTAACTTGCAATATTTCATTATTAGCTAGGTCGGGACTTGATCATGTATAAAATATTTTACGGACTATTTTTTTTTTTCGGACGTATTGCATCGTCCATGGTCTCGACGGGACTGAAGAGGCGGGTGTCAAAATCTTCCAGCATTAGAAGTAAAAATCAAATAAAGTGTGAAGATTGAGAAAAGTATTGGAAGCAGACAGCATGTCGAAGAAAATTCACGATCTTGTGAAATGTGTGAAGTCCTCGTGGCAGATACGGTCTAAATTTCTCCTTAAAGGTGGCTCGTGCTATGTAGTGGAATATATCATGACTTGACCAAATAATATATTTTCAGTACCGAACCTGAACATTGATTAGTATCACACAGTCACGTAGAGTAAGGTAACACGTAACAAAATTCAAATTCAGTCCTCGTAGGAAGGCATCCAATGTAATTATAAATTATTCACCAAGAATAAATATTCTGGCAACCGACTTTTATGGTACATACGCCAGCACATCAAGCTACATATTGACGTATCTTGTTCCGTTGCACTGGAGGCGATTTTCGAACAAAAATGTGTAGTCTGATGTGCCGTTTTCTGTACATGTCCTTGATCTTCCACCAGTTTTCGGTTCTGCAACTTTTTTTTATAATATCACGTAACGGGACGTACAAGTCTTGCGCCCATTGGCAAGCTACACGCCTGTCCATAACAGTTGCAATGCCACTCAGAGCTTCAAATCACAAAGATCTGAGGCACACTGCCGCTGCGCCTGTAATTTCACCAGCACCCTTACACTGCAAAACCGGAAGACAGTAATGCTGACATTACTGCTAGGCGGCAGAAATAGATAAGGTGACAGTACTTCCCTAGACGAACTCCTATGTGACCAGCCTATCACCTTTTTATTTGCGCAACAGTCTAACAATTCTTTAATAACAAAAATTCGCAAAACTTTACTTGTAATATTAAAAAATTATTTCAAAGTAAAAATAAACCATAAACTCTAAATCAAATGCGTTCACCCGGATAATGGGGAGAAAGAAACAATTTACCGTTTAATTTAAATCCTCCCTCTCCCAATAAAAAATTATTTGGGGAGGACTCAAACGAGGTCCAATAATGCGATATGAAAATTTATTTTCAAATACGATTTCATATGTTGTGGTTGTAATTGATATACATTCAATTAGTTAGAATTTGTTTGATTGCGTTATTTAATTTATAATTATCAACAATGATGCCTGTGCATTTATCCTTTATGATGAAGTTGATAATAACTATAATACTAGGTCGATGACCTCTGGTAAATTTATAACCCCAAGAGTCACTAGCTACTATAGAGATAGGACCTTAAAGAAACATACATACAATTCCGCATCTATTAAACTGTTTACCAAATGCTATTGCAGTGATCGCAATAGGTGGAGTTTTTTTACCTACACTTCGAGGAACATAGACAGAAAGTGGAGACCAGCATTATGACAATATTTTTTTAACAGATCTATTCGGGATTAAAATTTACGTTATTTAGAATAGGTAGGTTAATTTTATTTTTCTTAACTTTACGACGAGTTGTTGCAACCACCAATTTTTCGGAATATTTAGGAAAACTCCGACCTATCCCAAACCTTCTACCTACCTATCCCAAATAACGTCATTACCAATGTAAGCGCTTTCCTGAATCCCGAAAAGATCCGGGACAAAAAATAGTCGTCTTAAGATAGTCTCCATTTTTTGTCTCTGTTCTTCGAAGGTTAGGTAAAAAAAAACTCCACCTATTCCGACCACTAGTTATGAGACATGAAACTATAAAAATTAAATTTTTTAAATATCAATAATTTGTTTAATTTATTTTAGTTATAATTTTTTTCAGAAATTTTTGTTCAATAGTTAGTATTTGAGTTTTTTTATTTAAGAATTTTTAACAACACTGATTTGTTTTGCTTTTTCAACGATTTTTTTTGCCGTAGCGCCATCTGTGAAAAATCTATTTCACAGATGGCGTATGGCGAAGTGTAAAAATACATTTTTTTGTGTTAATAGACTGTTATATTTACAGTGCAATATATGCACACCCGTGTGTGCTTGTATGTGGCTGGTCTCTGAAGATGTAGAAAATACGACTTTAACCCTAGAATACTAATATAAATTTATCACAGCTTAATACTAATAATCGCCTGTGTAGCTACTTTTTGAAATAAAGTCAATATTTTATATTAATTATTAATTAAAATTTAAAGAAATTAAAGCTTATTCACTGACAAACCTCTGCAGTTCAAAAACTTAAGTCAAAGTTATAAAATAATACTTAAATCTTACATAACACACTTTTTTGTTAATAACATATCAGTCTTATAAATCTTTGTAAAAAAAAAGTATAAGAAACATAAACAAAACCTATTATTACCATAATATTTTTGACT